TATATCACACAATGCGAGCGCGAGTCTTTGTTGCATCAGCAAGTCACGTAAATCGAGGAAGTTTGAGACTATCCGGCGAGCTATATTCTCAAGGCGCGAAATAGTTGGTACAATTCCGTTAATAATTGTGAATAATATAATTCAATTCTACTGCTGCGATCAATCGTTATCCAATTATCGTTATCAATAATAGCTGAGTTACATAGAAACGTAAAATATGATGGAAGTTTTCGTATCGACGCGGCACTTTCGCACACTTTTCGACGTGATAAACGATAAAATCCGCCTGGCGAATGTTTTCGGGGTCGCCCGCGTGATTACCTCGAAATTTTTTTGCCGCTGAAAACAGATGGAAACGGTTTGCCGGTGGGGTATTTTGTTGCGCGATGTTTTATCATTTTTCCGATATCGAGCAACCGGCTCGTTGTGTGTCCTGTTGTCTTGTGGAAGCGCACACACGCGCGCGCGCGCGCTCGCTCTCTCCAGAATTGTTCTAATTGTCGCAACGGCAAATATTAGCTTTGGCCGTGTTTGACTTTCGCGTGATGCCAAGCAGAAAATTCGGACGATACGTTATTATCGCTCGCGCGACTCGCGTCCGATATTTTCCGATCGGTATTTTTGCCGATTTCTCTCCGAGGGAGCGTATCAATGCCATTTAAATGAACGTCCCGATTTGTTTTACATACAATCATGTAATTTTTGCGAATGAAGGTGCACACGCGTGCGATATGCTTTGCAAATTCAGATCATTAAATCAGCATATCCGTTCCGAATTGGGGACAAAAAGGAGAGAAAATCGCGCAGCTGTGACGAGGCAGCGGGAACGGAATTTGCAAGTTGCGGGCGCGTAATTCCCTACCGTCCGACCCGTTTGAAAAATCGTCCGAGGAACTGCGTTACATTAAAACAATACATTTATCCCCGCTTGGTGTTTGCACAATCAACACTAAGCGCGGGGAGTGAACGAAGCGCAATTGTCGCGGTGCGATCGCGGCCCAGAGAGAGGCGTTGTTGACAACCGATGGATGCCGAGCGCGGATGAAACGCGCGACGAGGACGAGTGTCCGGTTACCTTAATGAACAAATTAGTCTGCGCGCGAAGGCAAGGCTAACGAGATTCCGCGTTGGCGCGCACGCGCCAGGCAAGAAGATCCCCGGTGACTTTGTTTGAAAATCCTTGCCGGGGCATCACCTCCGTGTCGGAAGGCTGATCCTTTGCGGTCAAGCCGAGCGTGCATTTTCCGGCTCGCGCCAAGTATAACAAGAAAACGACGCGGCGCGTTGCTTGTTTGCCGCCGCCGCGGCTGCTTCTTCATAATGGGATCAACGTCTGCGCGGGATTTAATTATAGCGGGCCCCTGTCCGGAATAACTGTTTGACGAGCCGGTCTCCGTCCGGTAATGGGGATGGAGGGGAGGGGAGAAAAAGAAGAAGAAGAAGAGTAAGAGAAATGGGAAAGCCGGGAAGAGAAGTAACGCGGAGTCGCGCGATACAATCGATCCAATTCAATTACGAGGACTAACCGCGCCGGCGAACAGGCTTACAGGATAGAAGTCGATGTAATTGCACTCGTCCTCGATGCCGGACCTCGCCGAAAATTGGATTCCTAGCCGCCGCAAATCCTTCAACAGCTCCCGCGATCCCGCGTACACAGCTCCACGGTACCTTTAATCATTCGTTGCCGCGTTCTCCTTTGAAGTCGCGCGAAATCCGCCGGTTTTCATAGAATCACCGTAGGGCGAATTAAGACCTGTTCTTCTTATCCTTTCTTTTTTTTTTTTCCTTAGCAGAAATAATTGAATTTGCCGTGGCATAATCAACATGCGTGAGATAATCAACGAACGCATCGAGTTAAGACGCGATAAAGGCCAGAAATGCTCGGCCAGAGTATATTTTTTGTCGCAGGCAGTCTGAATTTGATGTTATAACAAGCGTAAAGCTTCCCTCTCGCTCCTCTCCCCTTTCCCACATGTGTCTCTCAATGCAATGATAATAGTTTATTTTTCTATACATTTAATTTCATTTATATGTTTTAATTAATTAATCAATTAATTAATTCACCTCGTATAGTAATTTCCACATATTTTGTTTTAACAGAATTTGCACATCTCTCTTTTTGCATTTGTATCATATTTATATATTTATATATTTATGTACCATGACACATGATAATCTCTGCGGTTGAAATATCAAAATATTATACAAAGTGATCCATCGTGACCAAAGTTGTTTGACTTTAAAAAAGGGGCGAGGAAAGGCGATTTTGCGTCTGGTCTTGCGTTCAGTCTTTCGTCTCCGAGATATTTTCTCGAACAACACTTGTTACACATGTGTACGTATTCTCTATATTTTAACAGTTCCCCCTTGATATGTTGATTGACAAATTCGAATGAGAAAGAAAATTTTTGCGACGAGAACGCGTTAGAAGATAGCGGATAGGTGTCACTAGGACTTAACTCGAAGGAACTTGGCGAGCGAGTCTGGGCAGACGCTCGTCCTCAACGGGGAGTTGGCCGATATTAGCGATATCTAATCAGCGATTCCTCCGTTTGGTCGCGCACGACGATCGATGGCGCTTGGACGTTGATCGTGCCTTACGCGACGCGACGTCGAGTGGTTTGCGAATCCTTCCGTCCGTCGTCGACGCCGCGTATTCATGTGGTGGTACGTGTAGGCGGCCGGCGATTCGCGCACGCTCTTCGACATCAAACGCAGACGAGACGCAGGTCACTCTAATAATGAAGTGTCCTGCGGGCCCGACAGTCCAGTCCTGCGCTGTTCCCACATTAAGAGCACGCTCGCTCGTGTTTACGTTACTCGATACGTCCGAGCTGAAGGCGAACGGCCGCGCCTTTAATCACTTCGGACGCGACCGCCAGCGGCGCACAGCAACTTAGTTCTAACCGTGTTATTAGATCCTACGTGCGCTCTGATATCGCTTGTCGACGTCGATACCGCGATATGCCGTTTATTCTCTCGAGGATCATTTTTTTCGCTGGAATCGGGATCTTACGTGCGCTTTGGTATCAACCGTCGACGATGCTTGGACTGATCGCGGACGGGGATGGTTGTCTACACTGAGGAGGAAAAATTTAGTATCTCTAACAAAACTGTTTAGTAGTTAGGCATTTTTTAATAGCAACCAAATATCTTGTCTTGTGTAACAAAATATTTAGTTGTCTCAAGTGAATATATTTTTCTGCTTCGTTCTCTGGAGCAAATGATTTTGTTCTTGGACTTCATATGTAAAAATTAAGCATTTTAGTTATTTTATGGATAAAAATTACATAATAACGAAATATTATTTTACATAAACTAAAGTAATGCCCAATGGATACTATTTTGTCTTTCTGTGCACTAAAATTTAGATTTTATATATTAAGAAAAAGTTATAGTATTTTTAACAAAATTCATACAGCTAAAGCTTTCTGGTTGCTATAACAAAAGTATTACGTTATACGAACAAACCGTGATCAAACGAGATATTTGTTTACAGGAACTAAACTAAGTTTTGTCGGGCATATTTTAACCAAATTATTTTGTTGTTACAACAAAATTTTGGCTCACGCAACGAAATATATATAAATATATATTAATATATATAAATATATATTTATAGTTTGTCTTCCAATGGAAGACAAATTTCCGCCATTGGGCAAGACTAGGGTTGCCAACTGCCCGGTTTTGACCCGGACTGTCAGGTTTTCAAAAGTCTTGTCCAGTGTCCGGTTAACAAGTCAAACCGGACGTCATATGTCCGGTTTTTAAGTCATATCCAATCAATGGAATGAGAGTTCAGATTTTAGCAACGTTTCTCCGTTTCAAGCGCCTACAAACGAAAAGCCATCCAGTAGATGATCTGCCGATCCATCATTCCATACATATTAAAAAAGTAATAGTTTATTATTTTATTCAATCAAATCTTTATAAAATTGTTTGGAAATTGATATTGTACATAAATTCTTGCGATATTTTGTTAATTATTATTTCTGTCCGGTTTAGTCCGCTTTGGATCTGTTACCAAAGAAGAAATGCCCGGTAATTTTAACTTTTGGACTTGGCAACCCCAGGCAAGGCCGATGCGTTCTGAAACTCGAGAAAGATTACGAACGACCTGTCCATGATTGCCCATTATTATCGTATACGAGCGAGAGTATCGCTGATGAATTGCGGTAATTCAATCGATACTCTTGACGCAGCGCTAACGACAATGACGAGTGAAGTAATACGAAATCTCGCGAACCGTCTCTCGCCGTCGTTTCGCTGCACTTTGACTTCTGCGTACAAAATCGGACGACCTTTATCCCTCTGCGAGCGCCCGAGATCGTTTCGGACACGACAGCTCTTTTCCCCTCGGACCTGACGAGCTCAGATCGTATAATCGGCGTCAATCTATCGATCCTCCTCCGCCACGCTGACACGAACACGACGGATCCTTCACGCCCATCACCGAACGCCCATCTCATCCGGGCATGGATCGCGTATATCTTCACACTCGCAAGATGCACATGCGATGCATCCTGCAGGAAGAAGATTGCCCCTCGACCGTCGGCGACCCCGACCGAGCTATTGAGCTCTTCCGTCTTCAAAGTAAAGAAAGAAAAAAAAGGGGAGACAGCGAGGAGTCGCGTCGCAGAAAATGAAAGAAAGATGTAAAGAGAAAGAGAGAGAGAGAGAGAGAGAGAGAGAGAGAGAGAGAGAGAGAGAGAGACAGAGAGAGAGAGAGAGAGAGAGAGGGAAAGAAAGAGAGACAGAAAAGAGGAAGAGAGAAAGAGAGAAAACTGACGATACGAGAAACGAAACAAGACCGACACGAGAGAAAGGAGAATAAAAGAACGGCGGGAGAGAAGCGAAGCGAAGCGAGTAAGGCGAGACGAGACGAGAGCAAAGACGAAGTAGGAATGCGGACCGAATAAGGACCGAGAGCATCGATATCGTAAGATCGGGAGGATGTTGTCGACTGATCACAAGAGCGAGTCTCTCTTTCTGTCTTCCAGGCACGGCGGAGACGAGCGCGGTACAGGCGCTCTTGGCCCGGTATCTTCAGCGTCGTCTTCAGGGCTCTCAGCTGTCGACGCCGCCGCCGCCGTCGGTCCTCTTCAGTAACGATCACCGGGCCCGCGTGAGACAGGCCAGCCAGAGGTCACCCAGCAACAGTCTCTCGCAAAATGTCAGCGACAAGGACGGGGACCAACACGTCTCTGACGATTACGACGATTACGAGGACGACCTCGAGGGCTACGAGGACAGCGAAAGGAGCAGGACCAGATTCGACCTCCTGGCGGGTAAAATCGCGACTCACCTTGAACAGTAACGTCCTTGAACGGACGTGGGTGGAGGGAGCGAGGAAGAGGGGGAGAGAGAGGGAGAGAGAGAGAGAGAGAGAGAGAGAGAGAGAGAGAGAGAGTGGGCTTATTGTGTCGTGGTGTACGTTAATTGACGGTCCTGATGCTTGTCAGTGTCACGTTCATTGTTTGTTCCTTCCTCCCTCCTTTTTCAACAGCGATAGAGATTCCGCCGTCCTTGCTCGGTGGAATACGAGCGACGAGGCGATGTGGCACGGCTTTGCCTTTGTCGATATACGCTCGTAGAGCTCGTGGTTCAGGTGAAGAAGGGTCGCGCTTCTCATAAGTCTTAATCAGGGGGTAGAAAGCACGGAAGAGTAGGCGACGTTGTGCGAAAAAGGAATGTTCAGATAAGTGGCTGCGGCCTTCGCATTACATGAGACAGATGGTACAATAAAGAGCACGTGAAAAATGTCGGCAAAATTCTGCAAAATACCGCAAAGTATATACTTGGTCAGATCATGCTGGAGACTCTGTGTCGCTACTTCGTAGATCGCTTCAATATGAGCAAGAGAGAAAGAGAGAAAGAGGCTGCGTGCCGTAATCTACTTTCACAGTGCGACTTTCTAGAGCCGAAAACGAACATTGCACACTCGGAAGCAGTGCCTCTCGCGCGATGTCGACTCCTGAAGACGAGACACACGAAGTCTTCGAAGGTCTTTTCGAGAGCGACTCGCTGAGCGATGCTGCGTTATCCCTCTGGCGTGAAATTGCCCTCTGACACGGACGGACGGCCGGAGTAAATAAGAAAAAAGAGAAAGATGTCGAGCGTCGAGCTCGATAACGAGTCGATTATCAACGCGCCATTACGAGGCGCAATTTTGCGCGACGAATGATTGCGAAGAAAAACGCGCAAACGCGACGGGCGGGCGAGAACGCTCGCGCGCGATTCACGCGTCTGCGGCACGCAATTTCACTTCCGCCGAGCGCGAGCGAAATTATCGCCCTCGATCGCGACGGTAATGCGCCGACGAGGGTTTAGGGAAGCGTGCATTGACGTCACGATGTGCGCCCTGCTTTTGCCCCGCGGTCGCTACAGTCGCGCTGAACCGTGCTGAATCGTTCGTGATCGAGCGTAGCGCTGCTGCATCGATCATGCTGCACGCTCTAGATCACCCATGGTGTGTCGCCGTCACGCTTTTATGATCGCCGACGCTAATCCGGACCCCGTCGACTCTTCGGCGAATTCACATAATTCCCGCGATCCTCTCGGCCCCCAACCGGGGCCGGCTGCGATCGAAATTTTGCATTAAAAGAGGCGAAATTACAGCGCTGTTTATGAAGCGTGAATCGCTCCCTCCTCCTCCCCACTCCTCCCCCCCCCCCCCGCCCCCGGCTGCCGGAGCCCAAAGCAGCCCTATTAGCGTATTCGTTTTTCGTTTCGCCGTGATAGAAATTTCGTGTGAAGTAATCGACGGTATCGTATGTTATTGACAATATTGAACGTTGTTAACAATATTGTAACATTAAATGTATGCAAAGTATGTGTGAAGTCTATCGAAGCGTTTCGTTAAACGTTTACTCAATGCGATTCGTCCTTGCCGCTCGGGAAATACGAATCCACGGACTCAGCATTGTGTCGTTGCTTTTGTAGCGCAGAAGAAGTAATTTGGAAAAACCGAGACGCGTCTCAAAGAAATGACGAGATTGCACGCACAGCAAGGGCTCCAAGTTGATTCCTCGGAGAAAGACGGAGAGGAGGACTTAATAATAGAGAGGAGAGCGACATGAAAGATTGAGAAGGGAGCTGCGATTATTTATCGCCGGATGTGTCAGCGTCGTCGATGCCGAGTAATTGCCGATACGTCTTAAGGTGGGAAATGTACTTTTATGAGTCCGCCATAAAATACGGGGGCTATACGTTCGACTTAGGGGGAGATAACGCTATTATGGAAGGGCGCGAATGAGCTTCATTCGAGAGAATACGAAGCAACATTTATCCTGATATCTGTCGGGAATCGTTAGATGAGGGAATACAACTGGAAAATCCGAGCGAGAATCAGTAAAAAATAAGCAATATAGAGAGAGAGAGAGAGGGGGGGTGGGAGGAGGCGGAGGAAAGGAAGAGGAAAGAATGGTGATAAAAGTTGGGCAGGCGCGTAAAATCGAATAGAATCGACGTAGGATAGTTTTACGTTGTTCCTATCGGTTTTCTGTTTCAAAGCTTTGACGCGGCTTTCGCCGCCGCGACGTGCGGATGGATTTTTCGATCCGCGTAATGTCTGCTCCAGCGATTCGTTTCGCGCGGGATTGGACGATGATTTAATTTCTCATTGTTACCGCGGCGAAAGTTCGCCGTTCCGCGACTCCACTCACCCCATGCGAAATTCTCTTGACACGCTTAATTGCGCGCGCCGTAGTCGGCGGAATTGTTGTCGGCTAACAAAATCATTACTACCGCACGCGGCCTCGATGGTCGCTCTTGCTCGAACGCGGAATGTATTCCTCGAGATTTTCCGCGGCGGTTCGAGGAAGAAGAACACCGCGCGGAAAGCAGGAAAAACTTTGTTACGAACTTGCGGAATAACTATGAAATTCAATGGAGCGCGCGTATAGCGGCGAAAGGGTTAATTTAGCGGAACGACTTCTCCCTCTCTCTCCCTCTCTCTCTCTCTCTCTCTCTCTCTCTCTCTCTCTCTCTCTCTCCGATAAATGCCGTTGCATGATATATAAACTATACAGCATAATTGTAATCCCGACGGCAGAGCGATGTGATTGACGGACGATTAATATGTGATTAACGCGTGATCAATGAGAAATTTCATATCGCGTTCTAACCGTTATCCGTTCAGCAGAGAGCGGCGCTTCCTTGCGCTTCATTTGATGGGAAAACTTATCCCGTGATGACACGTGAAGCGCGTGCACTCGTTATAACATTCGTTGCGTGACGGCTGCTGAGACAGAGCGAAAGAACTGTCATTTTCGCGAGCGGCGCGACATAATGGGAACGATGCGGAGAAGAGCCGAAATTAATCGACACGCTCGGCATTGTGTCAATATTTCTCCCCCTCGTCTGCGCTTGTCCCCTTTATCTATTTCTCCGACGCTTTCATACACACACACACATACACACGTTCTCCCTTTCTCTCTCTCTCTCCGTCCCTTTTGTATCGGAGTGATTCCGCGAAAGCAATTCCTTTTTTACCGTCCGCGGCGATTTAACTCCGCGAATTCGATATTCCATTCGCCGTGCTGTCGTGGATTTAATTGAGCACAAGGGGTTTCGATATTCGTCGAATGCAATATGCAATCGAGCGACCTATCCAATCAAATCCTCGTATGCTGTCGACTGCACTCCCCGACGCGCGACGACGGACTGTTGATAAGTTTTATTCGTTACTCCTCCATTCTCTCTCTCTCTCTCTCTCTCTCACACGCCTGTCATGATTTCCTCCCGCGTTATCACGCGCTCGTCTTGAATTTAATTACGACGAGCCTCCCTTCTCCTCCTCCTCCTTCTCTAACACTCTGCCGTCCACCACCAACGTGGCTGTCGTCGTCTCGTTCGAAACTCGAATTTTTGTCTTGCTCACGCAAACAAAAACATCGGCCGAGTTAACGCGCTTTTGCCCGAAGAAAATGGAATTTCAGCGATTTTGGCGTTTCCATTGGCCGAAAGGCGTTTCGTTCGTTCATCATCGCGTTAACCCGATCGATCCTCTCCTTCCGTGCGATGAGCTGTCGGCTTGTGGAAGCTCGTAAGTTCTTCACATCACTTGTTGTGCTCAGCTCGTCGTGATTCGCGGCGGTACGGTATAATTCAGACGTAACCATCCCTCGCAACGGTGCGACGCTACTCCCACAGTTAACGCAAATATTCGCGACCTGTCGACTTTAAAAAATGGCGCTGTTATAGTCGCCGCGAGAGCGGGTTTCGTTTCAAATTTAAACTCGCATTCTCGATCAGTTTCCGTCCCGTACGTTCGTCGAGCCCTACAGTGCGCTTCTCCTCATCGTCCCTCCCTCTTCCGGTCGACAGAGGCGCGCGTGAGAATGTACACCGAGAGGCGTGTTTGCCGATTTCGGATTTGCAGACGACGAGGAGATAAAGAAGAAAGGAGATGCAGAAATGGAAACAGAGATTGACAGAGAGAGAGAGAGAGAGAGAGAGATAGGGTGCAAACGTGAGTATAAATCTCCGCGTGGCAAAGTGGTAGGGGGCGGAAATAGCATCGGAGAGAAACGCGACGGACACGTAGCGGAAGCTCCCAGTTTACGATGCTTGTCCGTTAGATTAGCGTCCGTCAGATCGATCGTCATTTCGCGGGGGGGAAGCGCATTTTCAGCTCTTCGCGTTCTCCTTTTTTCTCCCGCGCGTTTCACGCATCACCGTCCCTCTGCATGCGTGTGTTGTTACGTATATATTATTAAAAAATCTGGTCGCAAAATGTCGACGAGGAGCACTTGAGTCGAGCCGCTTGAAAGGGAGGGGAGAGTTACTGTGCGTAAATCATCAAAGAATCGACGCGTAAGTCCTCACCTGCCTTCCAGCTGCGATCGCGACTCACTTTTCGTGTTCGTCTTCGCCCTCTGAGATTGAGGGAAGTTACTTCCAAAGTTATTTTCGCGCAGCAGCGAACAATGACGATTTACTTAGGCTTCATCGTGGAGCGCTCGCTGCGAGCAGCGATAACCGGCCGAGGAACACCGAGCTCCACGATCCGTTTACGTTCGTCGGCGCGGCGCGGCACGGCGAAGCGGATTAAGACGACGACGTCGACATTTCCAGCGGCATTTCAAATTCGTGCGCGCGCGCGACGTTTGTTTCTCGATAATACGGAATGTCAAGAGCACCGGCTATACAACCCCATTTTCGCTTTTGCACTTTGTTCTTCCCTTCGCAGGCTGATTTCCGCGACCCGACGATGGAGGCTTCGCCGAAAGGAGGCGAGAACGAGAGAGCGAAGACGGATCTCTCGGTGAAGGGGGGGGGGAGGATG